AGGTGAGTTATATGGAGAAGCAGATGCTTTAATTACATTATGATTTAGTAATTGTGAGACCTGTTTATTTATTTCGGTCTTATGAATCGGCGGGAATCGATATTGTTTTGTATTTATGGGTATGTCGTCGGTGGTTATAATTTTATGAGTAGTAACGGAAGTTTGTTCCAGGAAATCGTCTGGAAGATGAAATCGATCCTGGTGGTGTTCTACTAGAGCGAGGACGTTTTCCTTTTCTTCTGGATTAAGGTGATCGAGGCGTAGTAATTTTATTATTTTATCCGTACGAGATTCTGTCTCGCGAGAGTGATTGAGTTCGTTTTCAACGCTAGATTCTGGGGTAATAGCAAGCAACGACGTAGAAGAATTAGAAACGATTTCACAACAGCTGTCTAAAGAATTTTCCGGGCCTAAGACCAGAGGAGACAGTGATGCTGTGGAATTTGGACTCGAAGAACGAGCCGATTCAGCGATTTTGCAGCGGTTGCCTAAAGAATTTTCCTGTCCTGGGACAAGTGGAGGCAGTGGCGCCGCGGATATAGTAGAAGATACAGCGAGATTAGTCGAGCTTTTATTTTCAGAATTCGCGTTTTCGGTTTTCTTAATAGAATCATCTCTCGGATTGTCGATTGTAAGAGCTGAGGATTTAGCAATGCACGAATCAGTGAAATTAGCATTATCAGAACAAGTCGAGTCAGCGGTACGACAATTACCTAAAGAATTTGCTTGTCCTAGAGCAAGCGGAGGTAAGGGTGTCGTGGATATAGCAGAGGATACAGCGGACTTGTCTGAATGTTTGCTTTTATAAGACTTAGAAGATTTAGTAGATATAGTAGGCTTTGCTTGTGCTCTCTTTCGATTCTCAGCGATTATATCGACTTCTTGTAACGTTACTGTTGGTATCAATAACTCCATCTCGATCTCTGTTGTATTGATGACTCTAATATAAGCTTTATCGTTGATGCAGGTGACCAGAGAATCTCCTAAGAATACTCCATCTGTCACGTGCATCCGTGGTAAATATCCGGTCTTCACTTCCGGGTTGGATATATTTATTGTGAATCCGACGTTGGATCTTGCGGGTACTACGATGCTCTCGGCGGTCTTGAAAGGAATTCTGTATCCTTCCCAGGTGAGGCAATTGGTTCCGTAATCAATTCGAGCGTAATTATCGATGAAGAATGCGGATCCTAGGATCCCTTGTTGTATTATTGGAAAATGATCGCTCACGACATGGAAAATTATAGGAGTCCCGAAAAGATGTATATATGTAGTTCCTAAAGTTTCTACAATGCTATCTGTAATTCCTTTTAATTTCAGGATTTCTCTCGTGTCTATAGGAACTTCGTGACTCAGAGAACCGATTTTTATGATATTCGGCTGTGCTCCCGTATCAAGCATAATGGCTGTGGGTCCACGGAAAGAAGAGGAATTCAGTTCTACTGTGGGCACGTTTCCTCTACTGAGATCGACGACGGCGATTCCTGCACTTCTGTGATTATTGGATACATCTGGCGCGCTTCTGCTTGCCCTCGACTGGCGCCCGAGGTCGATGGGCCTTGGTAGTTTCCCTGCTTATTATTATCTCGTACTGGATTGCCGCTTTGATTATTGTATTGTCTTTTTCTGCATTCGGATATTAAATGACCGAAATTTTTGCAGTAGGCGCAGATCTTCATCTGCATGGGAGAGTTAGTAGCTGCAGCTGCCGCAGGTTGACGAGCAGGTGGGCGATCTGGCTGCATAATTGTGACTAGAGGAGGACCTCTCTCAGCGGTTCCCTGCGGGTTGACACGAGGGGCGTTGCTTCTGACCCCTTCGCGTTGGCGGATGCGATCTCGTTCGAGTCGTTTGTTAATAAGGATGGCTTTATTATATGCCTCGGTGAGGTTTTGATAGCCCTCTACGCGAATTTCCGCGCGGTACTCGGGAGGTAGACCTTCGAAGAAGGATTCTAATGTATACGAGTCGATCTGTTCAATCTCTGTTCGCGATAGTGACCGATTAAATTGTACTTGGTCTCCTTCAATAATAGCATTACGTAAATCTTTTACTCGGCCTATATAATCCAAAATGTGTTCTGTGGGTTTTTTGAATGCAATGCTTAGTTGACCGCGATAGTAATTAGATGAGCGAGCAGGTCCGAAAGTGCGTTTTAAAGAGTCTGTCAACTCGTCGACTGTGTTGTGGATCTCGTCCTCAACGGCTAAATAAGCATGTCCAATCAGTTTGTTTCGTAACAGTCGGACTAAGTGATTTTCGTTCGTCAGGGGGATGAGCTCTTTTTGCTCGTTTGCAAGCGCGCGCGAACTGCAAAAACAGGTATATTATGCCCGTCGAATTTAGGAACAAGTTCGAGTG